GTCTTACATTTATTGGGTTTTTTAAAAAATTTCCAGGCCTTTTGTTTGTAATGATCAAGTTTCAGTTAAGTATTTAGTTAACCAGTACTGTAGTACATATACCATACTTGGGGGCGGGGCTTATGGGCACAACCAATCACAGCTTGAAAGCATCCCCATCAGCCAATCACAGCTTGAAAGCATTTCCATCAACCAATCACAGCTAGAAAGCAGATAATATTACAATTCCATTATCCAATCAAAGCTGGAAAGCTGAAGCCTGAAGGTGCTAAAATAACAAACCAATCACAAATGGAATTCTGGAAAGGGATAGGATATGTAAATAATGGACTGAAAGTGTAAAGTTACTGCCTCCTGGCCTTTCCAAGCTTTCAGGTCCTGCTTTCCAATGTGCTATGTGTACTGGTTAATTTATTATCCCTCTAGAATTCCACACTGGCCGCCAGGTTAGGTTAGGTCATAGTGGCAAACCAGAGATTTTTTAGAATCAGTGCATTTTTAATTTCCTCAATTACTCAATATTTAAACCAATTTCTTACGTATGATAATGCTGATAGGTATCCATGATACTTTACTCAAGTTTACTGGTCTACTTATAGTAATCGAAATTGAACTTGTGGGAGTATATGGGTTAGGGGAGTATGGTTAGGTAACTCCATCGCGCCAGGCGCATTACTGATCGGGCAACAACTATGAGAAAAGCCTTCTGCTGGCTGCGAAGGGGGAGAGCCGGGGCATGGTGTTATAGGGGCGGCGGTTTGCGCTTCTGCCTGTGGAGTAGAGCGCAATGAAGCAATGGCTGTGACGTAACGGCGCTGTTATGTCGGGCCCTTATTTTCAAAAGTTGCGAAGACTCCAGGCTGTGTTTAATACAAGCATGCAACAGTTTTGCTATTTGCCCACGGGCCACAGCTGTTGCTTGACTTGCTTCGGTGGCTTGATGTCATCTGGCTGAATGATTCATATCCAGGAAAGGAAATAACACCTATGGCTTTAGGCACTTAATTTGAAGTTAATCACACTGGCTAATATGCCCTCTAGCGTGATTACGAGCGGAAAGGAATAGATATTGAATTGTGGGCAAGGGCTGTGTAGGGGTCTATACTGCATCCCGAGTCCCGACCACCTAATGTCTGCCCTGACGGCGACAGGGTAACATAGACCGGCTTGGAAATTAATTTAAAATTACCATATATAACATATTTCATGTTTGATACACCTATTATGTTTTTTCTTTATGTTTCAGACTCTACAGAGTCTTATATAGGTATGGTAATTTATGCTTAATTCCCAAGCCAGTCAATATTACCCCTTCATGGCTGACATTAGGTGGTCTAAGTTCCCCCATACAGGGGTGGCGCCCCCATTTGCAAACTATGACACTTTCCTCAAATTTGTCATTTGCATATGTAACTAGTAGAGTTCTACTACAATGCCCCAAAACCTGGAGTTATTTTACCAAAAAATATAATTTATTTTACCACCCGGTCTAAGATATTCCAAGAGCTGGGGCAACAAAGACCACCATTTTTTGAAATTTTACAAAGAACCAAAAAAAAAAGTTCAGAAAATGATTCTCAGCATTAATGGGTCAAGCCAGTTCTGTAGTACATATCCCATATTTGGGGGTGGGGCTTTCTGCTTTTGGGCACAGCCAATCACAGCTGGAAAGGATGACATCACAATCCTTAGTCCTCGACCTATCACAGCTGGAAACTGTGGAAAGGGGACAATATGACAATTTTGTCAACCAATCACAGCTGGAGATTGGTAGGTCTGATAGGATATCATGGATATCACCAGGATATGTATATAATGGACTGGCAGTAGAAAGTTCCTGGCCTTTCCAAAGTTTCAGTTTCTGCTTTCTGAAATGCTATCTGTACTGGTTAATTTAATATCCCTATAGAATTCCACACTGCAGCGGACTCTGCGAGTGAGTGAGCCTTCAAGCCTCTTGAACTAATAATTTTCCTGTATTTACATTGCATGATTGCAACATGTATCTTATTTATTGAAGATGCATGTCCACAAAAAGAAAAGAAAAACAATAAAAATATATTATATGACAAGGACAATATATAAGATACTGTAAAATGGGGTAACTTAGACTGGCGGGGTATCTTAGACCACTTTTCATTTCTTTAACAAAAACCCCCAAAACACAAAAACTATTTGACATAGAAAAATTTTGTCAGTGGGCATTAAAGGCCTAATACTGATGCTACATAACACAATAGAAAGATTTAAAAAGTTTGCATATCTAATAGGTTAAAAAATTAAAAATGTGACCCACAAAAAAAGCTATTATTTAAAGCCTGTCAGAGTACCCCCCTCCAATTTTTTTTTATTTTTTGGTTACATAAGTCCAGGTTTTGCTGCATTGTATTAGAACTCTTCTAGTTATATATGCAAATGACAAATTTTAGGAAAGTGTCATAGTTTGCAAATGGGGGGCACTGACCCCAAATGGAGGAACTTAAACCACCTAATGTCAGCCCTGATGGGGTAACATAGACTGGCTTGGAAGTTAATATAAAATACCATATATAACATATTTTATGTTTGACAGCCTATTTATGTTTTTTCTTTATGTTGCAGACTCTACAGAGTCTTATATATGGTAATTTTAACTTAATTTCCAAGCCAGTCAATATTTACCCCATCAGGGCTGCCATTAGGTAGTCACATTTCCCCCATTATGGGGCAGCGACCCCCATTTGCAAACTATGACACTTTCCTCAAGTTTGTCATTTGCATATGTAACTAGAAGAGTTCTACTACAATGCACCAAAACCTGGAGTTATTTGGAGTTATTTTACCAAAAAATATAATTGATTTTACCACCCAGTCTAAGATACCCCAAGAGCTGGGGTAAAAAAATTAATTTTTTTTTAAATTACATACGTAAAGACTATGAGAGGCAGGAGCCAGCAATTTATGGTGAGTGAAGCTAGAGTATAGACCTGTATTTTGCATGTTTCAATTCAAGTTTAATTTAGCTGGTAAAAAAATGGCATCATTTATAAAAAAAGTGGTCTAAGTTACCCCATTTTATGGTAGTTCATATTGCATCAACAGTAAAGGTCTATTCTCTGAATTATATCTACAATTTACAGAAAATTAATCATCCTGGTTTTTGTGGTCATTTTTTTTTGTGTTGCAGATGAGACTTTGTATTGCTGAGCATAATATTCTCAAAAAATTACATGATAGAACTTTAACTAACTTGATTCATTCAACCAAAAATTAAAAACCAACATGACTTCTAAACCTCAAAGCATCTTTTCCTATGGGAATTTAGTGCATGCAATAGCTGGTGGTTGTGGCTCAGCATTTGCAATGTCAGTATTTTTCCCTTTAGAAACTGTAAGAACAAGAGTACAACTGCGTAAAAAACTGTCAGCTGCAAACAGTGATCAACAGCAAACTCCTTGTCAGGTTAGTTTTTAGTCAATTTTTTTTTTCATTAGTTCAACTTTTTTTGGACATAACATGTGTTAATATGACGGTATAAATAGTACCACTTGTGATTAGTGTTAATGTATTTAAAATCTATTTATTTCATTCATTTCATCAAAATGTACTATTTATTCCTTTGCAAAACCAGATGTACAGGTATCAAATTCTACCAGTATTCTAGTCTTGTACATTAATCACTGCTTTAATCAAGAAATGTTTTCACTGGTTTGCCAGTAATATCATCCAACTTTTAACTGTCAAAACATGTAAATGAACCATTTGACATTCAAGTTGAATTAATTACATACCGTAAAATGGGGTAACTTAGACCGGCGGGGTAACTTAGACCACTTTTCGTTTTTTTAACAAAAACCCCCACAACTCAAAAACTATTTGACATAGAAAAATTTTGTCAATGAGCATAAAGGCCTAATACTGAGGCTACATAACACAATAGAAAGATTTTTGTATTTTGCATGTTTCAATTCAAGTTTAATTTAGCTAGTAAAAAAATGGCATCATTTATAAAAAAAAGTGGTCTAAGTTACCCCATTTTACGGTATATGGTATATATACATGTAGTGACCTTAAAACAATTTTCTTGTATCTCAACTCATCTTGAAACTTAATTCTTCTTATAATTTACTAGATTAATGGTAACCTATTCTTCATTTTGATTCCACAGGAGGATGAGAGTGTGCTTGGACTACTACAACGAATCCTTCATGAAGAAGGTCTATCTGGGCTTTATCGTGGACTGGTCCCTGTTATTCAGTCGCTGTATTGTAGTAATTTTGTCTACTTCTACTCATTTCATGGCCTGAAGAAGGCCTTGAATCCCAACCAGTCTGCAGTGAACGATCTCTTGTGTGGGATGGCTGCAGGTAAGCAGAATTTACATAGTACCTCTCTAGGCTGGTGCCAAGTTCCTTGTTGTAGCATTGAGAAGAGCAGACAAATTTTTTAGTTGCATAAGGTTTGCTTAGAGTGTATTCAACGTGGATGTTTGTCATGTCTTAATTTTTATATCATGTCTGCTTGGCTATAGTCTGGCTTGCAAGCATAATTCTGTTAGGAATTCCCATCTGAATTATTATTAATTTTTTTTCAGGTGTGTGAACTGAAGAATCACTTATTTATGCAATTATTTTTTTTTTATCTTCTGTTACATGACTTGATTGCTACCTAAATTAGTTGTGTGAGGTTTTGTTTTTTTGATAAATATAAAGGTATAATACAAATGCAGGCGTCATCAATGTCTTGACCACAACTCCTCTGTGGGTTGTGAACACAAGACTGCGACTCCAGGGCACGGACCTGCAGCTGGAGGAGCACAAACGCTGCAAGGGCATGATTGGTCAGTGCTATTATATACAGTATATATATACCTTAATGATACCTTAATTAATTATCAATTCAAGTTAGCATCTGTCTCTGTAGTTAGTGTGTTTCTTAGGGAAGATTGGCCAAGGTTTTAAAAATAATAATTCATAATTTCAGTTATTCTGGAAGAAATAATTAGGTCATTTGACTTGTATCTTTTGACTCATTTCATCTAGTGGCTCACAATCACATCTACAAGTGTGGAGTGTTCTTGTGAGTAGTAGGTACCTACCAGGTATAACTTTGGCTTACCTAATTCTTGTTACTGTTGTTCATTTACCTACTTTACAGTTAACTCATCAAGTGATTGTTAGGGAAAATGAAGGTATGAAATGCTCTCGTTGTGCCAGCTTGTAACTTCTTAACATTGACTGTGTTCATTCTGAAGTGTAAAAAACATTGTAATTTTATTTCAAATTTGGAGAAGCCAGAATTCTGTTTATGTTTTACAATGTACCACTAACTAAATGGTTTCAGGTAAATAATTGTTTTTTTTTTTCAGCAGGTTAACCTGACATTGTCTTGAATATATTGTCCCCAAGATTTGAGGCTCCCAACAGCCTGACTCCAGTTTATAATTTTTAGAATGAAGTATGGTAATGGAAGAAATTCTCATTCCTGCTGACATTTAGCTTGGAACTCCCATTCAACTCCTGCATGTACTTTATGTGTTACTTGAGCTTGAAAACTTGAACACTTACCTTTAGTAAAAATCACTTTTACCTTTTTATCATAATATTTTTCCCTCTTTATTTTTATTCCAACACTTTTAACCCATTATCAATGTCTTGTATTTGCACCATTACGTAGGTACTATTTAAATTTTATTTATATGCAACATCTCGAAATTATTAGTTGTAAATAGGGCCTGAACAACCCAGTGCCAGGCTTTTTTAAACACAAAAAATGTCACAAATATACAATAGGTAGTTATGAACTAAAAGCAAATTTGATTACATTAAAACGCTATCTGGTGTGATGGTTTGTGATTCAATTTTTCACACTGCAAAAATCCTGGAAAATGAACATTGTGGAAATGAACTGTATGAACTGTGAATGAGGGCAGCACTCCACAAAATAGAGTATTTGAATTTCGATGTCTCCATGAACTTAAAATAAATTGTTTTGTGCAGATGGTCTCCTGAAGGTTTACCAGCAAGAAGGCGCACTGGGGTTGTGGTCAGGCTGCACCTCATCCCTGATGCTGGTCAGCAATCCTGCCTTCCAGTTCATGGCCTACGAGGCCATCAAAAGGTCACTGCTATTTAGTTATATTGCCTCTTGATAATTATTGTAGTGAGGAAGGCATTGTTTGTTCTTGATGACACAAAACTGGAGGCTAAATGGGTGGGCTATTTTATTCCCTGCTGCTGTTGTTCTTGATGACACAAAACTGGAGGCTTAATGGGTGGGCTATTTTATTCCCTGCTGCTGTTGTTCTTGACTACATAAAACTGGAGGCCAAATGGGTGGGCTATTTTATTCCCTGATGCTGTTGTGCTTGCAGACGAATAACTGGAGCCAAGAGCGGTGCTGTTGATCAAATTGGCACGCTATCTTGTTCCCTGTTGCTGTTGATCTTGATGACAAAAAACTAAAGGCCTATGGGTGCATCATTTTATTCCCTGCCGCTGTGTTCCTGCAGACGAATAACTGGAGGCAAGAGCGGCGCTGTGCCACCGGCACTACAAGTGTTCCTGGCGGGCGCCGTCGCCAAGGCCTTCGCGACGATCATCACCTACCCCATACAGCTCGTGCAGGCGCGCCAGAGGGTGGGAGATCGTGTTAAGAAATTAATTTAAATAAAACAGTAATGTAAAGAATTCAGTTAGTATGTACCGTTTAATGCATCCATGCCTCTATTAATATGACATAATTTCCTACTACGGTAATTATCTAGCTCGTGCAGGCGCGCCAGAGGGTGGGAGATCGCGTTAATAAATTAATTTAAATAAAACAGTAATGTAAAGAATTCAGTTATGTAGGTACCTTTGAATCGATCATCACCTACCCCATACAGCTCGTGCAGGCGCGCCAGAGGGTGGGGGATCTTATTAAACTAATTTATAGAATTCAGTTATGAACCTTTGAATGCATACATGCATCTATTGATTCATCACTTAATTACCAACTACGGTAGTTAATTTTTATAATAGTCATATATTGATCATTTCTGCAAATTGTTTGAAAATAACTTTCATTGAAATGAAAAATTTCAGGAAATAATATTCATGATCTGCAGCCAAGGCTTTGTGAAAAAAATTCGCTGGTGCCGAGAATTTTGAAACAAGTTCAAAGTACTTAATGCATGTTCTAATTTCTAATCAATATTTTTTCACGTACCAGTCAGTAAAAGCTTGTAATTCCAGCAAGCCTCTATAACGAGGTCCAGCTATGTACTAGTCAGCCCCAGTTTGTAATTAAATTTTTTATTCTGTACAATAGTCCATCTCAGGCAAACTGCGTTTGTTTGCTCAAGCTTGTTTTTTATTGACTGTCATTAGGTCCGAGCTATTACAAGCTTGAATGAATGAGTAGGTATATTTTTCGAAACTGTTGCTCACTGATACCAGGGCGCATTTCTGATCGTTTACGTTATTGTAAATATAAAATGCTGCAAAATATCATGAAACTTGATAAATAACAATAGCAAGTAGCAACATTTTCCCGTCGTTGTATTCAACGGTCACTCTCTCTGTGGTCAGAGCAAATTATTATCATCATCAATGGCCCCAAACTGTCAATGGCTACATTATCTTTTAACGTAACGTTACTTATATTCTGTTTCTCAAGTATTTGTGTAAGTTTTTCGGTTTGTAATTTGTGTTGCGGTCAACTGGTGATGGTGTGTTGTGACCACAGCACAGCGAGGGCCGGCGCAGCACGCTGCAGTTGCTGCAGATGATTCTTGTCGAGTCCGGGCCTGCTGGGCTCTACAGGGGACTCAGGGCTAAGCTACTACAGACTGTGAGTTGAACCTTAGTTCATTCTATACCGTATTCATGTCATGAATTCTCGCCTTTTGTGAGTGAACTCCTCTCCTATAGACCGTATGGTGTATCTTAGTTCATCACATATTTATCTTATGAATTCACTCCTTTAATGTGAGTGAACTCCTCTCCTATAGACCGCATGTTGAACCTTAGTTCATCCTATATTTATCATATGAATTCACGCCTTTTGTGAGTGAACTCCTCTCCTATAGACCGCATGTTGAACCTTAGTTCATCCTATATTTATCATATGAATTCACGCCTTTTGTAAGTGAACTCCTCTCCTATAGACCGTATGTTGAATCATAGTTCATCATATATTCATCTTATGAATTCACTCCTCTATTGTGAGTGAACTCATCTCCTGTAGACCGTATGTTTCATCTTAGTTCAGCCTATATTCATGTCATGAATTCACTTGTGAGTGAACTCCTCTCCTATAGACCGTATGTTGTATCTTAGTTCATCATATATATTCATCGCTTGTTGTGGTACTACGTTTGTTATCAGTGAACTTGCTGATTCTAAAGTTGTTTGTTCGTTCATATTTTTGTCTGTTGAAACGTAAAATATATTAACCGTATGAAGTAAATTTAAAGTATTTGAAACCATATTCATTATTTTAATCAAATGTCAGTAGAAACCTAGTTTTCTCTTACCGCTTAATTACGTACCGCAGTGGGGCTACAATAGAAAAGCTTTGTTGAGAGCAATAATCGTTTCTCTATCATAAAATATATTGCTTGCTAACTATTTTGTATGAAAAGTTATCCGCCTATGAAATGAAGCTAAAAAGGAATGGGATTGACACGTTTATAAGAAAGATGCAACTTACAACTAATATACTGGCAAGAAGAATAAATTAGTTAGCGCTATCACTGTTGTTTGATGTGCAGGTGCTGACTGCTGCGTTGATGTTCCTGTGCTACGAGAAAATCGTGTCCGTGGTTTATGCCGTCATGCTGGGACGATCCAGACTGGCTGCTGTCAAGAAGTAGAGCTTTGCTGCTGTCAAGAAGTAGAGCTTTGCTGCTGTCAAGAAGTAGAGCTTTGCTGCTGTCAAGAAGTAGAGCTTTGCTGCTGTCAAGGAGTAGAGCTTTGCTGCTGTCAAGGAGTAGAGCTTTGCTGCTGTCAAGAAGTAGAGCTTCGTCTTCTGCAGCCATCGCTTGAGCTCTAGTTCAGAAATTATCCCGATGTATAGGTACCGAGTTTGAAGAAAGAAGTGCTCTATAACGAAAAAAATTCAGCAATAAGTTAAAATTCAGCATTGGTTGTCCTTACTAAATCGTGATTTACCACTCATTTCCGTTTTAATTATGAAGTGAAGTTATTTGAAATGATGTTTGGTTCAAATTTTTTTTATTATTTTTAATCTAGCACATTTTATGGTTTTATTGCTGAACTCTACTCACTTCATTAAACTGACAAGTTCGAGTGAAAGTCAGAACAAAGCTAATTTTTATTTCATGACGTGATTCATGGATTAAATGGATATTGCCGAAATATTTTTATGTGTTTGGTCATATTGACAGTTGGACATGCTGCCATGCGTTGTCAGCTCTCGTTCTGTAAGTAAAAAAGTCCTCTTTTCATTGTCTCAGGGAAATGGTGCGAACATTAGAGCAAAAGACACTAATGGTTATTATCCAAGAAATTACTTCGAGTTAGTCTTCAATCTGAATGAAACAATATTATAGGTGCCATAAAATTACTGCATTCCTTACATTTTTACTCGTATCAATTGGAACGTGCTAAGAAATGATAACTTTAATTGACAATTAGACTGTATACCCTTCGTGCAAATTTTAAACTGCATATTACTGATATTTACAAAATCGTTTCTTTAAGATTTAGACATTGATTTTTTTTCTGTAATAACTGCAGCACTGTCTTATTTGGGTCCATTGCTGTGCGATGCCTCTGATTATTTATGTGCCAAGCAAGACAATTGAAATAAATATTCGTGGCTCTAAAACCAACGTGTTGAAAATGCCCATTAGTCTTCGCTACGAAGCTTCATGATTAAATAAATTTTTAACATTTTTATTTTTCTTTCGTTCGTGTTTTGAATGTTTTTTCTGTGAGTACCTTATGTTACCTTCATTAAAAGGATTTAGTGGCATTAAAATTTTGTTGCTGCGTTTGCTGAAGGTGGATTTGTCTTGTAGATTAATAGACGATATTCATTAATATAATTGCAGCTTATCTACGTAACTGTTTCAATTATTGCTGATATGCTATTGAAATGGGTTTACCTTGTATTATATGTTATTTGGTGTCGTTATTTTGTCGGTTAACATATATTTTAATGTCTAGTTGAAATGAAGTCTATCTCTGGAGGAGCTCAAAGCCGCGACAGCATTCCATTAGGACCGCAATGCATGCGGCTAAATGAGTACAGCTTCAACCCCTAATTTTCGTTTGAAATTTTTCTAAAAGGGTGCGATGATTTAACTGTAACAGCAATATTTTTATTCTTATAGCTAATTAGCTTAATTTTCATCTAATTGATCCCAAGTTAATTATGCAGTGATGCTTTTGCTCGTTTGGAAACCTTTTATCACGAATACTGAATGATTTTAACTTGAAAAATTAATGGATGCCAGTTTCGTCTCTTCTTAACTGTGGTGTAATCTTATAGCCTTATAACATGTAGAGCTGGTCATCTCAGGCTGTGAACAAATTATGTTTACCGAGAGACTTCAGTTCATGCTTCATTTCTCTTCCTCAGTGGCCCAGTATAATTATTATTATAGCGGTTTTAATAATAAGAATTTGTAACGTGTTATGATACAGGGTAGATTATTATCATCCATTTTCAAGTGAAGTGAGTCAACGTCATGGTCAAGGGCTGCTCACTCGCACCTGAGAATTCTTCCTTTCATTTGGTTTCTCTTCTTCAGGTCGAATAATAATAATAATAATAGCGGTTTCAGCGTTATTAGGCCGTAGGCCTGTCGCCGATTCTTAACATCGCAGAACATTCACAGCATTTTGCGGGCTTGAACTCGCAACTCACTGCTACAATTCTGCTTTGCTTAACCGCCAGGCCTCCTTGCCGATTCTGACCAGAAACTGGCGCACAGAGCTGGGATCGAACCCGCGCCTCTCTGCTCCAATCCTGGTACTCTGAACTGTAACCACTGGGCCACCCTGCCTATTGGCATCAACGGGCATGAACTGCCAAGGATTACGTTATATTTTCAAAATTTGAGGTGTTATTCATAGCCTGTTCATTAAGCATTATATTATGTTATGTGGAAATTTTTGGGGCGGTTAGTTTTAAGCGGGAATTATTAGTACCTATATTTCTGTTGTCAGTTACTGGGTATGATTTACTCAGCCATATTAGCTATCGTGGGGGTGGTTTCTAGGATTGTGATTTTTACTTTCTTCTTAACATGATGTTTATTATCTGTTCAAATGCTTGTTATTCAATGTTATTTTTATACTCCTATATAGGAACTTGCTGTTTAATGGAATGTGGAATTAAAATTCTTGTCTTTTTCTTACCCAATGATTCGATTGCTAATAAATTTCGGAAATATCGATGAATTCTGATGCTCTTCTTGAAGACCGGGAAAATTTCTGAAATTCTTAACTCTAGGAATATTCACTATCTTGGAATTAATAATTCACTCAAGCCCAGTTTTTCTTCATGATTGGAAAGACAATGCGTTAGATCGTTTCCCATACATGCGAGAGAAACGCTTCTTGTAGCGTCCCGGCCTTGAACTATAGTAGCAGATGGAAAGCTGCTGAATATTAATCGGAGATGCTGATAGCCAAACATATTAGATAGAATGTTACTAGGCATTATCTTTTTTTATTTTCGAAATCTGTAATTCACATAATAGAATTCATTATTCCGAATTCCACAGTGTTAGTTCACACCTTGAAAGAAGGCAAGAATTGTCGTATGAGCTATTAGTTCGCTTTTATATGACTCAACATTCGAATCATCCAGAGAACATTGACGATTGTTGCTAGTTTATTCATGTAGATGTACTAAGATACCTTCTTGTAATTTACTCAATCCAATATTCAAATGAATCATTTGTATTAAACCTCTTAAAAGTGCGCTGAATGCCACTGCGAAAGGATTCAATTTTCTGTCAGCTCATGTCGCAGTCGCAGCGTTTCCTGTGCAATTGCAAAAAAATCAATTTAAAAGAGCTGAACTCGTGGATTCTCTTATATGTTTAATACGATTAAGTCGAGATAGTTTCGATTTGGGATCCTTTGCTACGAAGACGTTCTATCAGGCGAGAGCCAATCATTTGGGAGGAAGATAGAGGCTTCCCAACCGGGTCAATAATTGCTGGCGTATAATTCCTTCTTAGGTCAATACCTCGGGGAGACCTGAGCGTTTCCTCGTCCATTAGGGCGTTGGCGTCTCATCGAGAATGCAGACTGGGACGTCAGTCAGACAATTATTTCTTCGGTAAAACGTGTGTTGTATCGAATATTGAAGTGTCGTTTGAGAAGATTGTGATTCTCGTGACATTCAAAATCCAGAAGTTTGATACAATTTATTTTCATTCCTAATGCCATCATCGTCGTCACCGCTCAACCGGAGTAGGTGTAGATTGTTTAACACTCGAATTTTTGTTACGTATTAGATTAGCTTCTACTGTTAAATGATATTACATATCTCAATCACATTATCTCAAGCCTGATAATAATGAATAGATTGAAGGACTTCGTCTTCAGTTAGGTTTGCCCTTCTAAGCTACGTGGACTTCATTAGGACTACGATTTCTAACGAGGCCACTAGAATTTGGAATTCCAAATAGAAAAATTAGTACAAGGTCTTCAATTAGTTAAATTTCTTTCCAGGTTTGCTACGAGTACTTGGACTTCATTAGTACTGCATTGGCCCTGCATGTTGTACCTCATGTAGTCCAGGACATCAGGCGGAAGTTGCAGCGAAGTTGCTGGACTAAGTTTCGTGGCATGGAGACTGTAAGGAGATGAAGCAGCCTCTACACACACACACACACACAGAGTCAGAGACAGAGGTAGGCAGTGGCGCGCTACATGTAGCGGCGCTACATTCAAGGCAATGTAGCGGTAGCGGTAGCGCCCGCTACATATTTAAGTAGCGATAAGAGGTTTTGCCGCTACAGCGCTACAGCTACATTTATAGATAAAGCCTTTAGATTTTACTTAATAGTATTATATATTATTTAAAAACCAGCATAATACATACATAATATAAATTACAGAATAAAACCGTACGAAAGATTTCGGTGTAATGTTGCCAACCTCAGCCTGTTACTAGTGTCAACATGTTAGTTGTTACTTGTTATGTTGTTACCAGTTACCACTTACATGTATTTTTTCATGTTTCAGTTTGCTTACAGTTATTTTTACACAGTTATTTTTATGGTTTACCTTCCCTACATGGATGTCTTCTTTAATCTACCAATCTCAAAAATAATCCACATATATATACAAATAAAAGACTGATTTTTTTATATGTATATGTGGATAATTTTTGAGATTGGTAGATTAAAGTAGACATCCAAGTAGGGAAGGTAAAACATAAAAATAACAGTAACTTTTATTTACTGTATCTAACCCCGACTAGTTCGGTAAGGTTAATTGCAATAAAGTTGCATTGATATGTTTTGAAAATGTTTTATTCTCATTAAATGTTTATGAGTAAATCCCAATAGCAGAACAATAAATATTTAGAGATTTCCAATAATTTTGACCATTGTAGCGGCTAATGTAGCGGCCCTACATTTTACTGTAGCGGTAGCGGTAGCGCTCGCTTACAATCTAGTGGGTGTAGCGGTAGCGTCCGCTACATTTGGAGCATGTAGCGGTAGCGGTAGCGGCCGCTACATTTCAAAGTAGTGCTGCCCAGCTCTGGTCAGAGCTTCCTATTGAACATGTACCGCTTCCTATTGAAATGGACACCGGAACTTTCTGAAATATTTGACTCTAACTTGTCCATATGGTCACACAAAACAGCCAAGTGAACCGGCCGTCAAGGTAGCTAAACGCTACAGTTCATCGCGATAGAACATTAGAATTATAGTAGGTTTAAAGTCATAGCATTTTTTTCTTGTGAATAAAATTTGTAAAATTTTGGTCTGTGTTAAGCAACCAGAGGCTAGGTCTAGCTCTTTTTTTCGCACCGGCTTAACATGTGCATTTGCACGAGTTGCGACCGCGGTTACATATTTTAATCCCCAAAAATACTTTTAAGAAACGTCGCAGAGACTCATCTTTCTTTCGCAACCCTTGGCTCAACTACCCGAATTGTCTTTTTAGAACCTGAGACTTAGCATAGGTTGACATACCAGATTCCATTAGCGTCAGAGATGATGTCCCGGGACAACTTTTGCGCTTGGAACAAGTCACCTCAACATGCACCACGATTTCATGCCGTAATAATGTGGTGTCTATTTCACCAGACAGCCTTACTGAAGCTTAAATACAGATGTATTTTTTTAGTTCGTACCAAATGAATAATTGATATGAGAAAGGAATATTTCGGATTAATTCAATTTATTTAATTACATGCATCATCTTATCGAGTTACCTGCGTGCCGGCAGATGACATAAAACAATGTAACACCGCATTATTTTTCACATTCACTGCGCTTTTTAGCGCATTTTCTCATTTATGAAAAAAATTCACTATTGTGCTCATCATGTCCGTCTGTCTGTCCGTCCGTCTGTCCGTCCGTCCGTCCGTCTGTATGTCCGTCCGTGACTTCACGTTTTCGTCGACGAGAAAATGCGCTCTCTGTCACTCACTGCAGTGAGTACTGAGTTATATTTTTTTTCACTTTCACCGCGCAATTTCAACAGCCGAGTCGTGTGTTTGCTGTTGAAATAACGTAAAATCGACCCATGAATTTCTTCAGGATTGCTCCACGTGAACATCTCTGCTGGAAATTGCACTGGACGCGGCCAGGACGGCCGTTTGCAGCGTCGCCAGGAGCTGGTCCAGCTGACTGCCCTGCTGACGCAGCGCCTCCAGCTTAGCCTCCAGCTCCAGCTGGTGGAGATGCAGCTGCTCCAGCCCAGCACTCATCTGGTCCAGTTCCACCTGCCAAAATTTATAGAAATAAAATGAAGAAAGACTAACATAAGAACTAAAAAAAAAAATTTAATGACCTGCCAAAATTTATAGAAAAAAAAATGAAAAAAGACTAACTTAAGTAACAATAAAAAAAAATTTAATGACTTAACTATGCTCAGGAACGAGCAGGCTAGCTTAATAAACTTAGTTATAGCAGAAATGGAAAAAATTGAGCGCAGAGAGTGGAAAATATCAATGATAGATACAAATAAATGTTGATATCAAAAATTACTGGAATTACATATCAATAACGTGGTATTTAAGCGATGAAAAGGGGCTTATTAAAAAATAAATACTAACGCGATATAAATCAATTAAAATGAGCTGGCAAGAACCAATATCACATCAATTAAATTATGGCATTTACGATCGCTCGTCAGATAAGCAGCATCGGCCTCTACGCATGCAATATTCGCAAAGTCTATCTTGAGTGTTTTTCCATAAAATTGATAAATCAGCAGAATTAGTAACAATATTGGAAATAAAAATGAAATTTAGTGCGAAGTTTTGTGTCATGGTTCTTCACCGTTGTAATGTACTTTTAAAAATAAATCAAAATGCACTTCGTCTGCGAAAGCAAATTTTTGAATAGTATGGTAAACGATTTTTATGCTTCCAACTTTTCGACAGAATTTTTATTTTTATTTAAATTTATATTGGCTCGAACGTGGCGTAAACTAAGAAAACTATTAGAAAGTTAACAGAATAATAAAACAAAGTATCGCAAATTTTAGTAAATCTTGAATTGCCTGAACTTGAACTGATGTCGACTCTTTTCCTAGATTATCATTAAAAAAAACGAGAGATATATATGAAATATATTGACCGAATCGCGCACCAAATGAGGTATTCAAACAAGTAATTTTCTTCTTAGAAATTTTAAAGATTTACTGCATTTCTAATAAAAAATTGCAATAATGATAGTTTGTTTCAATAGGTTAACGCACTAAAATAAGCCTCACATACGATACATTTTCTTTACTTAAGCTTTAGAAAATCTGAAGAAATTTTCTTTCAGCGCATTTGAACCTTATCCTTTCGTTAGGAAGTTTTTTTTTTTGCATTGAGTCTCACTACCGTCAACACCGCGCGAGTACTTTGATCGTATTCGTTTTTGATCTCTCGTTTTGAAGTAAAAATTGCGGTTTCAAAGAATTTCCATTGCTACAGTATAGCGTTCATTATAAAAACTTGCTTAAAAGGAATTTGTCATTTATTGACAAAATAGCGGGTATCCGGACTACGACTAGGGAGGTGAGTATAAACGCCTTCAAGAACAGACTAGACGAAGCTATGCAGGAGCATATGTTCAGTCTTAAAATGCCTAGCAAATTACGGACCAGGCAATAAGTCCAGACGAAGCAATGCAGGAGCATATGTTCAGTCTTAAAATGCCTAGCAAATTACGGACCAGGCAATAAGTCCAGCAGCTATCTCAATCAATCGTCAGCTATGGAAAGATCGGGTTCCAATGGCTGGATCCCTTGTGAATCAAGTCACGAAAAATTCAAGAATCGGCAACAGGCCATGGGCCTATTTCTTCAGTGTCGACACTTCTATTCTATTCTAAGTAGGAATGCGGACTGCATCATCCCACGAACTATAAGTATTTCATGTATATGGGCTGTTGACGCTATAAGCTCCCGGTCTCATCTAAAAGCCTTTCTCTTCGGAGCATATCGCTAACCATTTATCATGTTTAAAACTGATTGTCGATTACTTTAATAAAAATTCATTGGGCGAGCGTTATCCATACTTCTACCGATTTTATTCTGAGATGAAGTGGAGAAAAACGACAGAAAACATTCCCATTGCCCGAATTTCTCAGGAAACAATCAAATTTATTTATTTTAAACGTATTGTTTTCGAACAGAAGCTTACAGGAAAATCCTCAATGCTCCACATCCCAACGGAAAACTGCAGTCGAGCCTCCAGCTAAAAGTTTGTGTGATTTTACCTCGACTGAATATTTGAGCAATACGATTGAAAAGTTTCAGGAAATGCTGCTATCTCTTCGCGAGAAAATAGCTGTTTTTCCTCACAATTCTTTACTCTAGGCTTTTCCCGCAATGTATTGAAAATAAATCGAGAGCTTAGATCTGACCGACTCAGTCGATGCGGTCGTTCGTGTCAAGCAGTTCTTCCATTGTCATTATAATGTCGACTTTGTCAAGTCATCCGCTCTGATGCTGAAAAAAAGACACGAATATCATGGAATATTTATAAGGACCTCGTGATGGCGTGGAGCAAACGTCAATCAGGTTCTAGCAGCGACTGAACGATAAATTGCCTGCGTCATTATACAGACTGCAGCACATCAGATGTCTTTATATCAGCAGCAGCACATCAGCTGCAGCACATCAGCTGCAGCACATCAGCTGCAGCACATCAGCTGCAGCACATCAGCTGCAGCACATCAGCTGCCACACGCCAGTTGTGTCTGTCACGTCAGCTGCCATAGAGCTACATAGCCCTACTACAAACAGAAGGAAGACAATAAGGTCTTTTCACTGACCAAAACAAAGCAAATCGATATCAACGAAGATAGGAAATAACAGTGAGCGAGATGCATGCAAAACGCTAACTTTGTTTTAATAAGAATAAGTGACACATTTTATTCCTGAATTTTTGAAAATGACTATATAAAGAATTAGCATTACCTGTAGTTCATACGTTGGACACATTGATGGGGAGTTTAGAGTATATTCATCTTGTGGCTCCCGATGTAACCAACGCATCTGCTTGTGAGTCTGCAACGCTGAGTTGACGCTGCTGTGGTCCATGACGGCCATATTCGAATTGTTTTAATTTACATCACAAACTTTATTACATCACAAATGTTATTACATTATAAATGTTACTATAATACAAACAATATTAAAAGTGAAATCGAGAAAAGTGTGTTAGTTTGCAAAAGTTACATTAATTGACATCGATGAACTGAAAAGATGTAGAAAAGGCGATTTACTTGGTCGGTTTGAATAATCATTTAACAAAAATTGAAAGTAGGCTGAAAGTTAGGAAAAAATCTAATTTTAATAAACTCCTTCTTTTCATAAACTATTCAAATTTATGTTCACGTTAATATTCAAGTATAACACTTCCATTTTGCAAAGTGTTATATGCAGCTTATTCATTTTACATATTTATTTGTTTCCTGTTCTTAGTTCATTTGAAATGAACACAATTTCTGCTCGCTTACTCATTTCCTCACTACTATAACTACTATATTTCCATTAGTTTTAGGTGAGATTTTCCCAATTATAGTTTTTTTAGAGCGTGGTCTTTGCCAAGTTCGCGCTCTGAAACCATTATAAAGAGCGATCGCTGCGAGGCAGCAGCACGGCTTTCTGCAACGCCCATCCCGGGGCAAATAAATTACAGATGTTCCATCAAGCTCACACACGACGGTTCCAGGGCTGGTGGAAGTCCTGTTACAGGACTGCTGGAAGTCCTGTCACAGGACTGCTGGAAGTCCTGTTACAGGACTGCTGGAAGTCCTGTTACAGGACTGCTGGAAGGCCGGTTACAGGACTGCTGGAAGTCCTGTCATAGGACTGCTGGAAGTCTTGTCACAGAACTGATTGAAGGCCAGTCACAGAACTGCTGGAAGTCCTGTTACAGGACTGCTGGAAGTCCTGTCACAGGACTGCTGGAAGTCCTGTCACAGAACTGCTGGAAGTCCTGTCACGGGACTGCTGGAAGTCCTGTCACAGAACTGCTGGAAGTCCTGTCACAGGACTGCTGGAAGTCCTGTCACAGAACTGCTGGAAGTCCTGTCACAGGACTGCTGGAAGTCCTGTCACAAAACTGCCGTAGTTCCTGTCGCAGGATTGCGGAAAATCCTGTCATAGAACTGCTGAAAGTCCAATCACAAAACTGTAGTAATTCCTGTCACGGGACTGCTGGAAATCCAGTCACATGACAGCCGTTTTCTGTCCTGCAATGAAAGTGCTGACAGGCAATATCCTGATCTTGCTGCAACTGACACCTACACCAACACAGACACGCAGAAGAATAAGCATTACTTCAATAAAATATTAGCTCCCAACAGTCTACTTAATTCACTATCCTCAGTATGTCCACTTGTGTCAATAGTTTGTAACGGTCGAAGAATTATCAGTAGATGTTTATTATCACTATAATTGATTGTGTGGCTTACTTTGACCGATTTTGGTGAATTATTTATTATTTCGAATGAAAATGGTGCTGAGAATTTAGTTTAAAATAATTCAGTATCACATTTTGAGAAGAATACATCAAATGAAAAGTTCGAACGCACTATTATGTTTAGTCGTATGTGGAAATCACACGCAAAATACTGCGCTTTAAGAATACAATAATGAATATTGTTTCTTCTTGTTCGCTGCCCGGAATAAGATAACAGTTATGTTTGAAATGTACAAATTAGAGAAAGCATATATAGTCACTATTGGGCATGTGTGGAGTTTAGATGAAAACAATCGGCAAAAAGATTTATACCCAAGTTTCTCTGAAAGCAAAGCTTTAATTTCCACTCAATTGTGAAACGCCAATGGATTGATGTCTCCAGCTGCGTGTATTTTTAATTTATAAAATAATCCTGGTTTCTCCTAAACTTATTTATTATTTCCATTGAGATATGACCACCAACATGATATATTTTGTCCTTGAAATTAATTTTCCTTAGACTTCACGCCTTATTTCATCCAACGTTCGGCTTCTCACTCACGAGCCCGCAGTAAAATTTAATGTCGCTTCGGCTGCTGGTTTTCCAGACGATATTCCGCGAGAAACTACCGTCACCTGTTCAGTGATGGTAGAGTTTAAAATTGATATCACTTTGAAAAATTGAATGTATGTCTTTAGATCGAACTTCTGCGAAGCGTCGGAAAGTCTTATTTGTTAATTCTTCAAAATGTCGTTCAGGGAATTTTCAATACTTATTGCGGTCGAGTATAGCTAAGGCAAAAACTTGTGAAACCTTTTTCAAATTGACAGTTGATTTTGTACAAGATGAATTATGTACTTGTCTTAGTTTACTATTCTTCGAGACTAAACTTGGACAATATTCTACAATCGGCCGGCTCGTACACTAGCATGAAGTCAAACACGAGCGTTGTTTTTTAAATTTTACGAAGGAAGCTTCCCCGAGTCATAAATATTTGATGCAAGGGTTAGACAGTTCAGAATCGTAAATAAGATTACGTGTTTCCAAGATGTTGTTGAATATTTCTTGAAGATTCTACGTGTTGTAAGAAATTTTTCTTAAAAAAAACTTACGTTTAAATGAGCCGAGTAAAGCATATTTAACAGGTTTATTTGCTACATTTTTCAAGCTTTACGATTTGATTTCGAACGTGATGAACATGCGAATATTGAACATGAATAAAAATCTCGCTCGGTCGAATAGACTATGAAAGTAATTTTCAACATCATTAATCATTATGTGATGTCATCGAACTTTGTTTAAGTTGTACCAATAGGCTAAAACAAAACACTTTTCTCACATTAATAGTAAATTAAAAGAGTGTTCAAAATTAATAAGTGTTCTTTCTTGCCCTCAATATTTTTCATTTCCCCTTGTACCCACATGATTTAGAAATAAATGCATTATATTGTAGTAAAACATTACGATGTGTTTCAAGTAATTTTTTTCTGCATTAATTATATCGGCACAGCAGTTAGGCTTCATTTTTCCGCTGTTGCAAATATTGCATTATGACCGTCACAGTTATTAAAGCGAGGCGAGTTCTCTTTAATAATAAATAATAGCGGTTTCAGCGTTTATAAGGCCGTAGGCCTGTCGCCGATTCTTAACATCGCAGAACATTTATAGCGGATCGGTTAATTACGAAACCGCTACAATTCAAGAACTTAGAATGGGGATTATAATACGAATTTGCCGAGGATAGTGTTTTATGTGTATTTTGTTAAGTATGGAAATTGCACCACAAACATTGGCGGATCAGGCTGTTATGATCCTATGGATAACTGAATCTACGAAGAAACAAAATGTCAATCTTTAAGTAGCTCGGATGGTTTGCGAAAAAGACAAATATTCTAGAAAATTAATAAAACTGATAACAGAGATAAATAGTGTCCCTACACATTCACAGCATTTTGAGGTCTCGAACTCGCAACTCACTGCTACAATTCTGCTGTGCTTAACCGCCCGGCCTCCTCGCCGATTCTGACCAGAAACTGGCGCACAGAGCTGGGATCGAACCCGCGCCTCTCTGCGCCAATCTTGGTACTCTGAACTTTAACCACTGGGCCACCCTGCCCCTCTTTAAATTCTTTCTGTTAAGTTGTGAATAATGATAACAATAATAATTGTGGTCTCATTTTCGAATATTAGGCCATTAGGCCTGCGGCAGATTCTGAACGTCACAGAATTTTTCACAGGTTGTTGCGGGGCTCGAATATACAACTCACTGCTCCAATCTTGCTGTGCTTGACCACTCGGCCTCTTCTCTAGTTTTGACCAGAACTGTTATAGGAAGCTGGGATCGAACCCACAACTAACTGGTACAATCTTGGTATTCATAACTTTTACCAATCGGAAACCCAACGCTTAAAATGCTGAATGTACGAAGCTTGGCCTGTGGATGCATTCATTTTTAAGCCCTTTCGCCAACTTTGAGTCACTCAGGTATGAAAGTGACGAAAAAACTCGTACTTGTTGAGGCCTTTCTTTACTTTCAGCTTATTTTCACCTTCCGCTTCTCTTTCAGCTACTTGAAGTGACTGCAAGGTCGAGTTTTTATGCACGTATGAAAGCCTTAATTGTGACGCTTGTCATTTCCTTATATAAAAGGCAAGATAGCGGACTCCTTTCGTGTCGTCACAACCCAAATGCTACAAATTTGCCGATGAGACGACAGGAATTTAAATACTTGATTTTTGTCTCAAAAAATACTACTTATCTTACATATTGGACTTCATAATTTTCTTTCGTTTTGTAATCATGTTGCCTATAGGGATTTAATGACTGCATGCATTCTATCGCTCACATTTTCTGGTACTTGTGCGCAATCTCCAACCAACTTTAAAACATAAATGTAAAGTTCTTATCGTATTTTTTCTGTAAACGTCGTACATGAACGTGGAATTTGCAATTTTTCCAATAGAATGTATAGCATTTAATTCAATCATATTTTACCTAATTGAGCTAATCTACAGATTTTATATCTTTCCAGTTAATCATAATGCGATCGAGATCGTCCAAGTCTGATGCTGTAGTCCATAAATTACTTATAAACGACAGGGAAAGATTAACAATTATATTTTTCTTCTTCTCTTTTCTGATTTTCCAGAAGACAGCTCCGCATTAAATATAAACATTGACCGGGTCTCATTAAGTGACCGCAAGTGCGTCGTGCTGCAGGATGTCATGTTTATGGACGAGACTGGCCAGGATGGAGCGATCAGAGTACATAAACTACGAGAAATAAACGAGGGTTGTAGCTCTGCCATACTATGCCAAGTTATCAAAATATTCGTGCCGAGTACCTATCGATCAAAACTTTATGCTGAGGAAGCACCAAGAATTGTTCGGTTTATGTGTCGCAAATAAGACCTAATATGTATATGTTGAATAAATATGCAAGAAGAGCTTTTACTAAACAATCTATTAAAAATTCCAACTTGAGCAAATGTGACCCCAAAATATTTTCCTCATAAATCATAAGGGTCGCTTTTGAAGCAACAATAACTGGAACAGCTCGGCCACATCGTTCAAAAATAACGTTGGACCGCTCAGTTTCACAAATTTAGACTCCCTTACGTGCAAAAAACTTTAAGGCTTTTA